CCCCACGACACGACGGGACGTGCCAGCCCCAGCTGCCCTCCCCTCGCCACGCGCAGCCTGCCCCCTCGCTGGCCTTGCAAACGGGGCACGAGGCGCCCTGGCCTTGTCACAAACGCGCACGGCCACACGAGTGTTCCTCATCACCCATGTTAAGTTTAGCATCCCCAGAAGAGACGAGGCAGAACCACAGCCACTATAGCAATGTTTTATTTCTCAAAGCCTCAGCAGCACGCCTGCTCCCGAACCAGGGTGGGTTGCCTGCTCCCAGCTGGGGCGCACGGAGCCAGGGCAGCTTCGCCATCATGTTGCAAAGCGTCGCTGCGGCGTCGGTCCATCCCACCGGGGCGGCTGCCCTCATCTGGTGCCGATACTCTGGGGCGAGGGGAGCTGGAGTGCAGCGCGACAGCCTGAGGGGCCCATGTGGGGCCAGGGGAGTGAGCACGGAGCAGCCGGCTGGCTGGGGAGAGGGACTTGCAGGTGGGAGCGATGGCATCATGCTGGCCGGTCTTCGTTGCGAGTGTCCAAGGAGGGCCCAGGGCCACCGTCCTGGAGGTCTCTCTGCAGGGCGGACCGGGAGGCCAGGGCGCTTGGGTGCCGTCAGCCCCGAGGCTCAGCACATCCGGAGGAGGAAAGCTGCAGCCAGCCCCAGCATGAGGGAGATAAAGGCTGGGCCACAGCACGAGGTGGCCAGGCTGGCTGGTTGGCCGTGGGGGCTGGTCATGCCCTTTGTGGTCATGACCTCCGCCCAGCCGAGGGGCTAGAAGAGCAAATAGGAGAGTCAGGCTCTGCTCGAAACCAGGCTGGAGGGCAGTGCAGGGTAAAAAACCTCCAGGACCCCTTTCCTGGCCTGTACTCAGCCCAGGGGCTTTATGCCACCACAAGAGCCCCTCTTTGGCGACAGGAACCCAGCCCAGCATTGCGCGGGCCCCAAGGAGGGTCCATCCCCGCTGCAACACATTCCCAGCTGCTGCTGAGACGCTAGGGCAGGGAGCACAAACCACGCCAGCCCCAAAATGGCTTCCTGCCCCTGCCCAGCCCCACTTTGCAGACATCCTGAGGAGCAAATCAAACAGAAACAACTGCCCAAAGGAGCCTGGGCACAATTCCTGTGCCAATTGCCCCCCCTCTTCCCTGCAGAGACATGAGGCATCCTCTTCTCCCCTGGCTGTTTCTCCTTTGTGTCATACAGAAATCACCAGCTGCTTCTGGATTTTCCCAAAGGAGGAAGCAAAAAAAGCGCTCTCCTCATGTTGTTCCCCTGTTTCTAGCCAGGTGCCTGTAGACATTGCGGGGGGGGGGGGGGGGGGAGGGGGCAGAAGGAAAGCAGCCATCTCTGCCCCTTTGAGGAAGCAGATGGGGATGTGGGGGCTTGCGAGGCCCACGATGGAGGATGTGGGGTGAAGACACAGAGCCGGTAACCCCCTCATGCTGGAAAAGAAGGGAAGGAGAAGGTACCCCCCCTTCCTCAAGGCACCACAGGGCAGTGGTGGTTGGAGTAGGTCTTGGGCACCAGCGGGAAGTGGTTGGAGCCAGCCCAGAGGGACCCAATGGTTGCCGCAAGCAGAAACATTGCAGTCATTGAGACATGAAACAGCAAGACAGCCTGGATGGTAATTTCAGGGCAGCTTCCTTCCCCTCTCAAACACCTTAATCTGGAAGGAGAGGTCTTCAACTTGAATTCCTCCTGCCCTAGCTGTGCATAAACTCTTCTCTAGGTTGTTTGGTCCTTCCCTGGGGATTAGTAAGATTTTGATGAAGGCAGCAGTGAGTTACACCTGTGAATGGGGCACCACGGTGACAAGCACTGCCTCATCTGCTGGAACAGGGTTGCCAAATCTGCCTGCACACCTGTGCTTGTTCACACTGCTCTTCAGCCCCCTGGGGCTGAGCTGGGGACGGGGACGAGGACGGGGTCCCTGCATGCTGCTCTGGCTGCTCACAGGCACTCTTTCACTACAAGCATTTTTGGCTGCAACTGGCGGGTTTGCCCAGACACAGAATGGGACTCCTGACATGTAAATGCATCCAGTAGAGCCTGCAACAAGTCATGTTGCCTGTCACATTTGTGACTGACAGAAGCCCAAAACGATCTGGGAACAAGCTGTTGAAAAATAGTTGCAGGAGCTGCTCTGAATAGCATCACCTTCCCTGTAAACACAGGCACAAACGTAATTGACTCCCACAAAATGGTCCTCACCCAGGAGAGAGCTGCCTTCGACCAGCACAGTGCTGGGGGCAAGTTCAAATCAAGTCCTCATCAAGCCTCCTGGCAGGGAAGGAAAAAAAACCTTCAGCACGGAGAGGCAGAAGGAAGCATGCAGCCCCCGCAGGCATCCCTGCATGGGCCAGAGAAACTGCAAGATGGGGTAGCGAGCTGGGAAGCATAGAGGTTACGGATATGCATACTGCTGGTAAATAAAAAAAAGCTTTTTAAAAAAAACATATAGAACTATTTAAACCTTACAGAGCACACTGCAAAGCTTCTTATAAGGATTAAAGTCAGATAGAAAGTAAAATGCTCTGTTTTCTGGCTGTGGGCAGAAATTCTTCCACTTGCTGAACCCTACAGTGCCTCGACTGCAGGTGCACCCGAGGGACGCATCCAGCTGGGCCTCCCCCAGCTTTTGGGGCTCCCCAGGCTTCCCTGAGCCATGGGTTTCTTACCAAGCAGAGGGCAAGCAGAGCAAGCAGGAGGAGCAGGCAGGCACGCTGGAGAGGCTGCATCGTCAAGGCTCGGTGTGTCCTGGATGCACAGCACTATGACACTTCCTCATCTGCTTGCAGTGAAAGTAATACAAGGCTTTAAGCACAGGAGCCACAGCCCCGTCTCACCAATCACAGCCGTGCACAGCCCTTCCTGTACCCCTGAACACCCCACGTCACATCTGAACGCGCCTGCTGGCCTCCAGATCTGAACCTGGGGACAATATCCCGCAGCAGCGCTCGCCAGCTCTCACCCTGCCAGGGCGATTTCCTCCAGCTAAGCCAAGGGGCTGGTGCAAGGGGTGCACAGGGATGCTGGTGGCTGCAGAGCTGTGCCGGCAGCCCTTTGGGTCTCTCTTCTCCAGAGCTGTCAGTCCCCATCACCCAGCACAAGACCAGCTCCTGTTTCCCAGCCCGTTCCCAGCACAGCCTCGCTCCCTCTCCACATCCTGGAGGCTGCTGTCGTTTTGTCTGCAGGCCAGTCGCGTTTGGCACCCAGGAGCCCAGAGCGGGAGGTCCCAGGGCAGCGGCGCCAGACAAACGCTGAGAGCCCAGCGCCCTGCCTTTGCCACATCACATAATGCCCCCCCTGCACCTGCAGCACGAAACCCCATGGATTGATTATCACTGGGGGGCTCGTGGTCCTGTCCCTCATGCCTGTGTAGGACTAATAGTGGAAAAAAAGGTCATGGTTCATGGGGAAGGTTTGCAAATCATAGCCAACATTTGAACGAGGGCCCTGCCTTGTCCTCGTAACGAACCTCTTTCC